CAGATATGAATTCAATTCTAGCTATGAGCTCAGATGATCCAAATGATTCTAAAAGTCCATTAACAACTATTGAAGAACAACCACAATTAACAAGATCATTAACTATGCCACCAGGTCAATTATTATCAAAAAATTTTAATGGAAAAATATCTTCAATAAAAAAAGTGCCTTTATCTTTTATTGAATTTGCTTTAAATAAAGTTAATCAATATACATTATCACGTGATCATGAAGATATTGATATAAATGTAAATTTACAATTAGATCCATCAGATGAACAATGGACACAATTTATTGAACAATTCTATACTGCTTCACAGTAAGAATTTAAAAATAAAAATTTTTTTTATCTAGAACTTGATTTCTTTTATGTATTTTTTTGAAGTTCAAATGCTGAAATTGAAGGTATGGAAAAGTATTTAAATAAAATTGATGCATGCTTGAAAAATGTTGCAAATCATTGTCCACAATATCATATTGATGGTACAAGAAATATTTGGATTCTTAAACCTGGTGCTAAATCAAGAGGACGAGGTTTTTTTCTTTTCAAAATATTTCGAAATAGAATGAAATATTTTAATATTTTATTTAGGAATTGTTGTCTATGATCGTCTTGAAGATATATTAAAATTATGTTCGTCAACATTAACAAAAGATGGAAAATTTGTTGTACAAAAATATATTGAAAGACCATTACTTATTCATAGTACAAAATTTGATATACGTCAATGGTTTTTAGTAACCGATTGGAATCCATTAACAATATGGATGTTTAAAGATTGTTATTTACGTTTTTGTACAGAACATTTTAGTTTAGAAACACGACAACAAAGTGTACATCTATGTAATCATTCAATACAAAAACATTATAAAAATAATTCCAATCGACATATTAATTTACCAGGTAAATATAGAAAAACAAATATATCAATTTGTTATTTTTGATTGTATTTACTTCTTCTTATATTTTTTTTTACTTCATTAGTTGAGAATATGTGGACGAATCAAGAATTTATTAACAAATATCTTCGACCAAATCATTTAGCTGATCGTTGGGATAAATTAATTTATCCAGCAATGAAAGATGCGATTATATGTTCAATGCTTGTTGCACAAGATACTATTGATGCAAGAAAAGTATATATGATTCTTTTTTTTGTTATTTGTTATTGTTAAAAGATAATTAATATTTTTCTTTTAATAGAATTCATTTGAATTATTTGGTGCTGATTTTATGCTCGGTGAAGATCTTAAACCTTGGCTTATTGAAATAAATTGTAGTCCAACAATGGCTCGAAGTACTGCAGTAACAACAGATATGTGTGATGGAGTTCTCGAAGATACTTGTAAAGGTAATTATATTGAAATTAAAATGAAAAAACAAACTATGAATCAAATTACAATATTTTATATATATATATGTAGTAATGATCGATCGAAAATATAATCGAACAGCTGACACAGGTCGATTTGAATTAATTCATAAAGGAACATCTGTACCTGTTCCAATATATATTGGAATTGATCTTCGTGTTGAAGGTAAAAATTAACAAAGTAAATAAGTTTTTGTTCGTTTAATATTATAAAGATAAATTTAGGCAAAACTTGTAAAACTGGTCGAACATCAAATAATAATCCGATAAATACAGTTGAAACACAAAATAATAATAATAATAATACAATTAATACAAATGGTTCTACACCTCCAAAAACGAGTTCATCATCTATATCATCATCATTATCGGCGACACCTGCAGAAAATCGTCCTGTTCCTCCACATTCAGCTAGTGCTCTAGCTACACATCAATCATTTTCTTCAAAAACTCCAAATACTCCCGTTTCACTTAAACTTCGTCGTGAAATGACACAACCAGCATTAACTCGTGTTGAACTTAATCCGTCATCGGACTCTCCAATTGAAAAACTTGCAACAAATGATAATTTTGTATTTCAATTTCGTTCAATGTCTAATAATAATAATAATAAATTAAGTCAAAATCAACAACCTGATCTACGACAAAAACCATTGAAAATCAGTCCACATCGTCTTTCTGTTGAATCTCTTCCTATTCGTCAATTAAGTCGATCAAAAGTTAATAATGGTCTTTCATCACCAAAAGGTACGAAAAAAAAAATTCTTTTTCTTCTTTGTTTTCTTTCTTTCTTCATATAAAATCTTTTTTTTTCTTTTTTCTTAAAATCTTTTACATACAAAAAAAAAATTTATTCATATTTCCTAAAGATCTAATAGCATCGTTCGATATAACTCGACTACCAGCATTACCAATTCGTTCACATCATATCAATCGAATAATAAGACAAAGATTAATTGTCAATAATCGAAAGAATCGATCATCATTTCGTGATAATGAATTACTTTTTTCTTTGATGATTTCAAATTCACAAACAACTGCTCATGATTAAGTTTTCATTTTTTAAATCTGCACATGCATTTTCCATACACTTTCGCGTTTTTTTTTTTTTTTTATAAAAAAAAGAGGAAAGAAAGAAATAACAAAAAAATATATAAAATGTAAATCAACTACTGAGATATATTGTTTTTTTTTTTATTCATATTTCCAGTATTACGTAATCGTACACTGGCTATTTATCGACTTGTTGCACAATTAACGACACGACCACGGTACACGCTATACACTATCGAATGTTTGGTTTTTCTTTTCATGCACTATTATGCACGTTATTTTTCTGCATGATATTTTATTGTGCATTAGAGTCTGACGTTTCTTTTTTTTTTTTTTTTTTTAATGAAATGAAAAAACAAAGAAATTTTTCCTGATACTTTTTGTATTTCCATCTAGGCAACAGCAGCAAAATAAACGGAGTTTCAAAGATAAATGTGTCGGATTTTCTATTTACAGGCAAAGGCAAGTTTACAGGAGAAAAAAACCAATCGTTGTGTTTGAAACTTTCTTTTTCTTTTTCTCTTTCGTATTGACTAATTTACTGTTATAATAACTTACACATTGTTTTTTCGTGTGTATTTGATCTTTTGACTTTAAAACAAAGCAAATTTCAATTTAACTCATTAATGAAAAATTTTGTATTAATTTATTTATTTTAGGTGTTAAATTACCAACTCATTTTCCATTTAATCGTCAATATCAACGAGTTTATTTATCATCAAAACTTCAACAATCATCAATAACAAATAATTTAAAACCTACAAAACAGCAAAAATCAACAACTGAATCTTCTAATTTTGTAACAGTATCAATTCTTTCTATTCCATCTACAATTGGAACAATATCAACTGTCGATGCTAACAATGGACATAATGCATCATCATCGTCTATTCTTACCGTTGTATAAATCAAAAAAGAAGAAATTATTATTATTATTTTTTTTTCTTATTGAATCAATTTTTTTTTAATATATATTTATTTTATTATAATTAGTGTTTTTTTTTTTCAACACACATCAGAGAAAAAAGAAATATATTTTAACATTCATAATTTTTTAAATTTATTGTTTAAGAACAGTAAACAATTCTGATACACCTGCATTCATCATATTTGTTGAACCTATTGTTTCATTTGTAAAAAAAACAAATGGTCGTAAAAACCAACCATAACCAGCAAAAATTTCATTTGGTATTAATTTATATTCAAGATGATTATTTGTTTTTTCTATAAATTCTTTAATAGAAGTTATATTAGATGCCATTAATATATAACCACGAGGTCCACCTGCTGGATTACTACCACGAATTTCTACACCAATATTAACATTATCATTAATAGGTACATCTTCAAATCGAATTGAATAATGTACAATTGCTGATGGTCTATATACTTCTTTTGCTACTTGATTATTGGGCAATAATTCGACATGAATAATACCAGGCACAGGTGTTATTGATGTTGTGATTGTTACAAGAAGATAGAATAAAAATATCGAGAACAACATTATTTTTTACTTTTTTCTCTAATGATATATGTGTCTAGTAATCAATCTATATATATATATATATAGTCTTTCCTTATTTTTTTTTGTATTTATGTATTTAAGACTTAAGTTATCAATTCACCAATCGGATTAACTGACCTTTTTTTTTTTTTTTTTTTGAAATTCAATCTGTATAATATACAATTGTATTTTATTTAAAAATGTGTATAAAACATGACGTTCTGATCAATTATTAAATCTATGTTCTTATGAAGTTAGTCATCTTCATTATTTACTGTATCAAAACAAAGCAAACAAAAGGACAATGATCTTGTCTACATTAGAAAAATTAATGATAAATTAAGTAATGTACTTGGTCGAAAAGTTAATTCAGATTTAATGTACTTTTGAGAGACGCATTAAGTTTAATGCATCAATCAACAAAGAATTTGATCCACTAATTACAATGATGAATATATTTTGATAAAGTAGCTTTATATCATTGATTAATACATATTCTCAGCATGATGAACTGTAGAATATAAATGAATAGAGACTAAAGCATAAGAATAAGCACTAGTACAATATTTAACGAATCTATAGTTGAAAGAAATAAGTTAGAAAAGGTAGATACTTTATTAACAAATTTTATTAGTCAGTCATTAATTATCAAAAAGTTATTTTTTGTTTCGTTAAATACATGCTAGAATTATATACTTCGATTATATTATAGTAGCCATTTCTCAGTTTTGATTGATGCATTTAACTCGTACGTGTAGACTTAATTCAAAATAAATATCGAATTATTTTTCTAGTGTAGACAAGATAAATGTGCGTGATTAATTGAAGAGAATCTCTTGTTTTTTTTTTCTATATGTAGGTTAATCAGTTCAAGCATTTTGTTAGTATATATCTATATATGTGTATGTCAATATAAGCATCTGTTCGAAACAAGAATAAATAGATCAAAAATAAAAAAAGAAAAAGAAAAAGGAAATAAACAATTCAGATCTCTAAGAACGAAAAATATAGAAATTGAATGAGAATCGTTCTTTCAGAATTTAACTGAGTTGAGTTTTTTGTCTTTGTTTTTACATAGATGAATGAAGTAATGGAGTATATGGAGGAGGTGAATCAGCATCCTCATTTTGATAATCTGATTTAATAGCTTCTTCATATTTTGGTGGGCAATACATCTTTAATAAAAAAAACAAAGAGACAAACCGAAATTAATATTTAACAAAACAAAACAAAAAAAATTTTACTTCTCCAATAATTGCTTGTGATGAATCATCTGTATGAGTTGTAATTGTTCCAATAGTTCGAGCCATTGTCAATGCTGTTATATAACCATAACAATACCATATGATAGCAGCAATATAAAGCTTTAAAAAAAAATCATATATATATTTTTAAAATGATAATATAAAAATTTAACAAACGTACTTTAGCCAAAATAACAAAAAGAAGAAAAGCGAATACAACAAGTTGAAGTGTTTGAGCATCAAGTTCAAGTAAATTTTTTTTAAATAGAAATTCTGGTTGCATTCGAAGCCAAACTTTAATATCGGACATATATGCATAAAAACCGAGCATTGATAAAATTGAAACAATAACATTAAATACTTTGATTAAAAAGTATGGAACTATATATGATGGCCTGCTCTACAAATACAATAAAAAAAAAACGCTGTTTGCACAACCCTTGCGAGATTAAAATGTGAAACACGAAGTAGTTGCTGATCACAAGGACTATTGTTTTATTCGACCTATTTCGGCACACTTTTCTTCATTATTCTTTTACTGAATTTTTCACAAATACAATCAGGACGTAGTTGATATAGTATAGAGAGATGTTATTGATATCCTATCTGTAATTGTATATCAATGTTTGTCACGGTCTGTGACCTTACACAATCATGTAAAATTTTTATTTCTTCCTAGCAGAGTTGAAATTCTCTTTTTTGCATTCTATTAGAATAAAGATATTGTTCCATTGCAAAAAATTGTGACATCATTCTCTCCAATGTTGGCTGCTTTGGATCACCACTAGTTGTGTCTATCATGTCTGTATGTAAAGGGAGAAGTTCAAATTGCTACTCTTATACTTACATACTCTTTTTAGATCATGTTTCACAATAAAAAAACCGATATGATTACAATAAGAATGAGAAAAATAATAAACTTACAGCCAAAATACCAAAGATATGTGCTAATATAAGAATTGTTGCTGAAAAAACGACGAAAAATACGAGACATTTATCTTCTAAATAGTTATTTAATAACAAAAAATAAAAAATATTATTTATATTTAAGAAAATAATATTAACATACGTCGATTAAGAGATGCTACCCATTTAATTGTCATGAAATCCAAACTTGAATAAAAATTTCGAGTATTTAATCCCATAGGTAAATGACTAACATTACGTTTTTCAAGAATTCGATTTAATAAAACATTACTTGAAAGAAAATTTTTATTATGCATCATCATTTTTGATGAGTGTTTAGAATATGGTTCGATTACTGACGTCTCACGTGGATTAGGATATTGATCATTTGTTGATGATATCACATCGTTCATCATTCTTGGTGGTTGACGAAACATCAAGATCAATGCGCATAGTACTGCTACATGAATGAATAAATCCCATAGACCAATGAGTAATGCAGCTCCTCTATATAATTAAAAGCATATTATTAAAATAAAAAGAAAAAAACAATGAAAGAAAACACTTTTCTTCAATCAAAATTTCCTAACAATCAGTTTGATTTAGGTTTATTTTTGGTGAATTTATTGTAAATTCGAAATTCTAGAATTATTCCTAATTAAAATAATTAATTCAACAAAGAACAATAGTATTCATTTTCTTGTAAATATATATGATTAGCGTATCATTCATGATGTTTGTCACAGGTATTATATTCGAACTTCGACGTTATCTAGTTATGAAGAACTCTGCATCCCACTAACTGTCTACTCAGAACTATAGGTTGATGACTATTATGGAGATTAGTAATCACTTTAGAAGCTTGTGACTTGTAGAAGAAATCTCGGGGGCTTATCGAAACTGTCTTCATAGCATCGTACATTGGTAGTGGTGGATGAAGTGCGGGGTATCTTCTTCTGATGTATTATCTTTTAAAAGCATGATATTCAATTGATTACATTGGATTAAATCAATATCTTAACAATGTAATCAAAAGAAAAAAAACAATTTTAATCCTTCTCGTTGATACATTCATATCTTTATTTGATTTATGAATCAAGTTAAAAATCATGACAAAAATTTTGAAATCTCTCAAAAAAAAAAACAAAAACTACTAGCTATAATCATTAAATTCATACGAACAATATATAATGGTAAAAAAATTTAATAAGAAAATCATCCTTTCTTTCGAACTTATTGCCATTCTATTGAGATTCTCCATCGAAATATTAAATGTTCCGAAGAAAAAGATCACTTACGAGGGAAGTCTTTCAACTTTTGAGTCAAGACCATATGAATTCTATAGAACTAAATGAGCTATGAGTGTCCTGAAAAGAGTTCGCACTCTTAGCTTATTGATGCGGAGGAGATACTGGACTTTCACAGTACTTTTTTTCTAAATGAATACTGTGATCCAGAAAAACTGGTTTTCGACTTCAAACTTAGCATAGAAATAATACGATAACGAGAATAATTGTTTGTGAATATTTCAGATTTTATTACTGTTCCTATCCTAAAATACAATTATAGTAATAGCATATCTTTTATGTTACTTATATAACCCAGCAGATTTAATGTTCTTATTTCAGGATAGAAGCAAATCAAACGACATGAAGATTTTACAATAAACTATTCTTATTAAGATCTGTCTGTATGGAAAGTTTTCGGTCGAAATTCGAAAATCAGTTGTTCCTAAGAAGAATCAAGGCATTTGTTTAAGGCCCCCCCACCACTCAAAAATCGATCTCAGCCCACGAAAGTTCAAATGGGCTGAAACTTGGAGCATATGTTGGGACTGAAGTGAGGAGGCTGTGATAAAATTTTCAGCTCGATACCCTAATGTTTGACAGAGATATGAAACAAACAAGGGCCAAAAATAGCTCATTTGGCAATCCATTTTTCTTTGTCCAGGCTCTTTCAATGTATTTAATTTTTTTTTTGTTTGAAAGAGCATCTCAGGACGCAGTGCAGTACAGAGTCCTTTTTTTTAAATTCTTACTTTTTTAGCGAAAAAAGGGAATCACAAGTTCAATGACTCAAAAAACGCGCCAAAAATGGGTGTCTAGTTACATATATGACTGTATATATAATAAAAAATAAAGCTTAATTAAAAAAAGGACTCTGTACTGCACTGCATCTTGACGTGCTCTTTCAAACAAAAAAAAATTAAAATATATTGAATGAGCCTGGACAGAGAAAAATGGATTGCGCGGTTCAGAAAGCCTAAACTGAGAAAAAACGAAAAACATTTTTCGTTTTTTTTAAAATAAGCATATTTTTCAAGAAGAGCTTAACAAAAATCATCGAAAACTTTGACCAAAAACGAGGTGCCGAAGAAAAACCAATATGATTTCTGAAAGAGCAGAAGACGGGCTATCTTCCGATGCATTTATCTCAATTTCGATAATTTTGACGAAAATTGATTTTTTTTGAGTGGGGGGGGGGCCTTAAAAAGTGACTCTAAAATTTCGATATCTTCCGCAGCAATAATCTAGGGATACGAACTATTTTCAGAGTATTCATATTTCATTTGAGTCTACATAATGCATCTAGTCTCAACGCAAAATCAATTTATCAGTTGAAAGACTTTCTTCATTAGATCGGTTTCAATATTATTGAATACAATAAATTTATTGACCTTACATATGTTCTTTCAAATAAAAACCTATACATCTTTTTTAAATATCACTTATATCATTTAAGTAAACATCATAAATCTCTATAAAAATATTTGATATTCATATTATCATTAATTTTACCTTATTCGAACACAAAAAAGTACTCGTCTATTATATTGACGTCGTACATCATTTTCCATATTAATTGTAGTTATAACCATTATTTGTTATGTAATAAAACCAAACGAAAATTTTCAAAATCTAAAACAAATTGAAAAAATTTCCTAATGGGAAAGATGAAACTGATATTTAAAATATGAATAATCTTTGTAAAAAAGAAAAAAAAAGGAAACGGAAAGAGTATGAGAGAGAAACAAAACAAAAAAAACACGTTAAGATTATTCCTGAGAAACAAACAACAGAATACATAATACAAAAAAACTTTGACTTAATCGTTTTTAACAGTAATATGTTGTTCACGTTGTATATAAGTATTATAAATTAATGAACCACAACTAATTAAACAAAATATTGTATGATGCCAAAATAATATATATGAAAGAAGTACAGTAATATGTTGATTATTAAAAAATGTATGTAAATCATTCCATGTTAATATTAATGATGAATTTGTATTTGTTGTATTCGTCATATAATTATCAAAATTTTGTAACCATTTTGGTGGTTTTAATGAATTAATAGATAAATTTGAATTTTTAAATGAAAAAATTTTTAAATAAAAACAAATAATTAATTCAATAAATGCTGGTAATATATATTGTGATGTAACAACACCAAGATAAAAAAATATTGATGTTACATTACGTTGATATGATAAATTTGTTATACGTGTTGTTGTTAATTGTTGTTGTTCATATAAAATTTTAACACGATCATATGCTGTATCAAGATATATTTGTATATAAAATTTAAATAAACAAATACGTAATAAAATACATATAATAATTGATAAAATTTTTAATTTTATAAGATAATTTATATTAATATGTTGTATAATTGGTTTAAACCATAATAAACATGTAAATATTGGTAATATAAAATTAATTATTATTAAAATAAATATAAATATATTTTTAAAATTTTTTTTATTTAAATTTTTATTTTTTAATAAAAATAAATATTGTAATTGACCAAAACGAAATGCTGGAAAAAATAATATTATTGTTTGATATGCATTTATTAATGATAATAACATAACAATATAAATAAAACGACGATCAATATAATTTATTTCTTCATCATTATCATCATTATATATTATTGAATGATTTCCATATGTTTGTTTTAAATTAAAATCAAAAAATTTTTCATCTATATATTGTAAACATAATGCAAGTAAAAATGATAAAGCACCAAATAATATACATAATATACCTTCATCAACTTTTAAATATTCGCGTACAAATTTTGTTAATATTATTAATGCAAGTAATAATGATATAAAACACCAAAATAAACTTAAATTTATTTCATTTAAATGTTCATTATTTTGACGTATAATTGGCATTATATAAAGATATAATTCAGTTAAAATAAATATTATTATTGAACCTGTTATAAAATCAACTAATGAAAAAAATTCATCTATATATTTTACTTGTATAACATCTTGATGTGTTACAGGAATTAATTTTAATTCAATTGATGTATCAATTGGAATAGGAAATTCTTCTTTTGTATTTGATGAATCATTATTATTATTAATTGTTGATGTTTTATGATAAGATTTTAGTATATTTGATTGTTTTTTTGATTTATTATTTGATTCTTTTGCATAACGTTGTTTTATAGCTTGTTTAAATTCTTCATTTGTTGGTGGCCAATAATGATATAAACCTTTACAAAGTAACCATCGACCAAATGAATAATATTTGGTTAATTTAGTTAAAAAACAAAACACAATTAATGATATGACTATTTGTAAACCAAATATTGCCATTCTTATATGAATATTAATAATCACTTTATTGATTGTTATTTTATTATGATTAGAGGAAATAATGTACGTATATTGTGACTAGTACATATGCGTAAATGATACTTCCATTGATTCTTCACTTAAGCCTCTTTTTGTTTATAGATTGAACTTAAAAAATTATTTTTCGTAATTTAATTAGATCTCTAAACTAGTTTCTCTCGTTTCCAAGAACTTATAAATTATTTTATATCTTAAAAATTTTATATTTAAGAAGTTAGTGACATCTAGCAAAGAATAAGTCTCAAGCAATGTTTGTAACAGACTTCGATAGTTTTAAAAAAATGAAAATGAAACCCGATCTTGTAGTGGTGTTATCAGGAGTTTGTGGATGATAGGGCAGTGCCATACGATCTTAGGGAAAATTCATGAAATATAGTGTTAATGATGGTAATTATTATGTCTTTTTTTTTCTTCTGGTGACAGGATGGCGCTTGGCCATAGCCCACTATGGTCTATGACACTACCATCTGGACCGGTATTTTTCCAGTTGCTCTTATGCAGAACTATTGGAATAGAAAATTTTTTACTGATAACTGAGTATCTGTTTAAATGTTACACAATCTTCAGTCGAAAACGTCAATCTATGATTGTATCAATGCAAATTTTTTTACATTTCTCACGCTTGGATGAGATGAAAAGAGACATAGAAAATGAGCAAAAGTTTGATTAAGACTTTTTAAAAGAAGTTAATTGTCATCAAAAAATCAATTTTTGAGATCAGGGGTATCTCGAGGTAGTTAAAATTTGGATGGGATCGATGAGTCAAGAGACCGATTGAAAGATTTTTGCTAAAGTTGACAAAGTTTTGGAGGAGGTGGCACGTTTGTTTTTCGAGATTGGTGAGCAAAACGAACGTTAAAATACTAGAACTCCACTGAAGAAAAACGAAAATTTTTTAAGATTCGGAAGGTGATCCCTATTTGAAATAAAGAACCATGATTAAATACTCTGATATGTGTACATTCATAACCAGTGCTGTTTAAAAAAACGAGACATTATACTGAACCATTGACGGTTCTATATTCCAGTACCATTTTCTCGATCTTTGTTTTTTAGAGAGTGTAGTTTTGAGCCTTGCCTTCTGTTAAATGGGAGATTATCGTCATAGAACAAATAGATTTTTCTCATAGCAGTAATTCAGTGACACGTCTCAAGTGACATTCTAACAGTATAGAAGATAAAGTGGATGTTTCAGTTCAATGGTATATCACATCTTGGAGGTCCTGTTGTGAAAGAAAGAACTTAGATAGTGTCAGAGTAAGACTTAGGGTCATTCATATTTGTCATCTTTTTATGACTTTGATAGAAAAAACTTTCTTTCACCGATTCATTACATTTTATCTTAACCTAAATACACAGAAATAAACAAATTATTTATTTATATTTAAACAATGGGGTGAACAAACATGTTATACTCTTATAATTTAGTTTTGTGTACTGATATTACTAGTATGTTGAAAACTCTGCCTTTGTTTTGAATGGATGAGTCTTTATCGGCGAAAAATTTAAAAAAATACAAGATATGATCAATCTCAAATAATGAAATATAGATATTTCTAAACAAGCAGCTGATGTTAGTTATTTGACATACTATAATTAAATCACCGACTTCAAAAATACTTCCTTGAAAGCGAAAGTAGAACAGTTTTTATTAACCGAAACTGAGATCGAGTCGACGGTTTCGGGTATTTTTCGAAACTGCTAGGTTCATTTTCATAAAAAGATCAATAAAGCACTTCAAATATCTATTTTGATCAGATCAATTAACTCAGGTCAATGATTTCGGCGTCCAGATCCATGAATTTTCGGCGAGAACTCGCAGGAAAGATTTTTTCATTTTCACACTAATTTTCTAATCTAATCAAGCAAGCTTAGAGAATAACTTTCTGACAAAAACGAAATAAATTCTGGTTTTTTTTCTCGATAATAAATATGACGAAATTGACTGAGAGAGTGTTCATAAAATCACGTGATTTACTTTATTTCAAATATTGACACGACAAGTTCTAATAAATACACATCGAACATACGCTTATATAGATGCAATGAATAGAAAAGATGATCAAGCATTACAATTACATTTAAATAGAACAATAAATACGCCAAGCGAATGAATGAACTAAGTCTAATGAATAAAGATGAGATTATTCATTATAAAGAAATTTTTAAAATAAACTTTTGCGATATTATCTTTATACCACATAAATTTTATTTTATTTTATTTCCGAAGAACTCAAAATAACAACTTCAAAAGAAAAATTAAAATGAAATAAATTGTTTTTTTTTTTCTACATTGTGAGAGACTCATATTTTTATTACAACAACAACAGCAACAACGAAAAAAACAAAAAAAAACTTAAATAAATAAAGATAAACATCTGACAGAAAAAAAATTTTTAAATTAATTATTTATTTCAATTAATCCCAACATTCTTCATTTTGATTATATTGTTGATTAGTTTTTACTATTTCATTTTGATTATTCATTGAATTTTGATTATAATCATCTGAATGATAATCTTCATGTTTATCTGTTAATGGATCTTCAGAAAGTATTATTTGATGATTATCAAGCATTTTATAACCAATATTTTCAAGAATTTGTTTTAAATTATCTTCTGTTATATTAAATTCTATTAAACGTGGATGATTAATTAATGTTTGACAATCAATTGTTAATGGTAATGCATCATGATTATCATCACCATGTCGAGCTTTATCTTCAGCCATTAAACGATACATATTAAGAATATAACGAATTTGTTCTTGAATATCAATAGATTTATTAATACCATATGGATAATCAATAAAACTAATAAGTTCATGTTTATTACAATAAGATAAACGTTGATAAAATTCATTTGATGTTAATATTGTTTTTATTGTATTATTTTGACGATAAAAAATAGCAATTTGTGTACATGTACCAATATTTCGATGTTTTTCATTAGATGGAGCTTCACCAACACCATTAAATTCAACTAAATAACCATATGTATGAGCAATTTTTTCTGACCATATATTAAATTCATGACGAGTAAATTCAAATTTATGATCAGCATGACGATATTTTCCACAAATCATTGTTGTAAAAAGTACATTAAAATCAGCATTTGGTGTTGTTATAATAACCATTCGTGGACATATATAACCAAATACATGTTTAACTAAATTTTCTAAATCATTTAAATATAAATGTTCAATAACTTCAATAAGTGTAACAACATCAAAATGTTGAAAACAATTACATATTTTTGTAGCATCACCTAGAAAATAATATAATAAATATATAGTACATCTCAAAAGTCTTGTATCATTTTTTTTTTAAGTTAATTCAACCATATGCTTGTATAGTAGAGATCGAGTATAAAGTGTTGAACATAAAATAAAAATTTAAAAAGAAATTCAGCACTAAGAAAATAATGATCATATAAAAATGCTGAAAAAAGTTTATTTTGTGATTCTCGATCTGTGAGATAAAGATAGGGTGTAGGTGGAGATACCGCGAATACACACAACAACATCCACACTAGAGCTAGGCACAGAACAAGTCAAAACTGTAATTTATATTCTGTACCGAGCTCTGACCTACATCCCTCATCCATCTGGAACGTTATTTATTTCAGCCCGATCGATACACACCGAAAAGAATGACAAAATGATATTATTGTTATGAAGGTTCCTGTTGGATTAGGTCGTCTATTCAGAATTGAGAGGAGATGACTCTTCTTTTCAACTATACTTACACACACATCCACACGTACACTTCAACTTCCAAATGGTGTATTTTGTAGTATTACATCACGAACAATTTGTGAGTAATTTTGGGGTCTGGTTATATGTTCTATAGTCGGCACTAATTACATTTTTTCCCTATCAAAGAGAGGATGATCGGAAACGTTAAGTACTTAGCTTGTAGTCAGTGAAAAATTCTACAAAATTGTAAATAAGAAAGTTTTTTTTACAGACATCTTCGATTGATACCAAGGATCATAATGATCAGTAACCAATCATGCTTTGGATGATTAGTCGTGTATCAGTAAATTGATTTTGATTTCTTCAAAATCTTATGAAAATAAGACTGACTATACACCATTCAACACGTCTGGACTTGCTCAACGACATAGTATATTTTGAATAGGTGATCTAATCTGACACGATCCTTTGTAACAATAATATCATTTTCTCTTCTTTTTCTTAGCACTGAAGTTTATTTTTTTCTTATTATATTTCATAATCAAAGCTCTATCGTATTAAACAGGTATATATATAGTACTCGACCTCTACTATACAGGCATATAATTGAATTAATTTAATGTTCTGTAGTTTAAATACACGACTCAAAACAAAAAAGTGATGCGAGACTTTCGAAGTGCACTGCATCTTTTTTGTTTTTATTAAAAAAATCAAAACCTTACCATGTAATACATACGTATGTAATGGAGTGTCACGACGAAATATCATATATTCAACAGGTAATGGTTTTAACCTAAAGCATCCTTCATCAAGTTGATATCGAATAATATCAATAGCAGCAACTAATTGTATATGAGGATTACGATATTTACCGATGGTTAATAATTGACATGTACCACAACCGATATCAAGTAATGAATGAAGACTAGGATCACGTTGAATTATATCAAGTGTAAACATATAACGTTGTCGATAGAGAGGTGGATTAAAATGAATTCCACCTTCATGATCAGGAATATGATGTGAAGATGAATCTGATGTTTGAGTATTATTAGAAGCTAATGAAGTTTCCTCAGTTGATAACATATCTAAAACAATGATGATTATCTATTGGAATTTTCTTTATGAAAAAACAAAAACACTAATTAATTCAATTTTATGAATATGAAATAATTCTCAATTTATATTGATGGATATATATATATATATAAGATGTTGGGAAACAAGTTTAACCACAAACATATTTTTTCTATAATATTAAGCAATTAAAGCAAACCCAGATAATGAGTAAGTTTTCTAAAAAACACCGCACATGGTGGCTTTCAGATCAGAGAAAGACTGTTTTTTCATAATCCTATTTTAAAGAGCATATAGTTCTGAACAAAAATCAGGGATCGTCGTTTTTTCCATCACCTTCCCATAAAAAATTAAAAGTATCACAACAACCGAAAAAAGGCATTCTTTTGTAATACCCGTAACTTTTTAAGGGAAGGTCGTAAAAAGAATGCAATGACTCATCATTTTGTGCTCTTTAAAATGTCATTGTTAAAAAATAGTCTTTTGTGATCTGAAAGCTACCATGTTCAATTTTTTTAGAAACATTACCATCATAGTTCATCTATAAATCTTTGGTACCAAGTCAATTAGTCGCAGGACAATTCATCGCGATCAATTAGTCGCATAGACAATTAGTCGCGGACAGTTCGTCTCGTAATGAAAAAAACAAATAAGATGTGAAACAAAATGTTTTATTTCATCGCACAGGCAAAAAATAAACTCGGCAAACAGTAAAGCTTCTTCCTCACAGGATCTATCGAACATATTCGTAGGGTTCTCTGTTGATTACATTCGGATCCATATCGAAGACAATAGTGAATAAAAAACAAAAAATTCAATCGATTTTTAAATTTTTATTCGCTTCACTCAAAGCGGTAGCTTTCGTTTTTTTAATAAAACTGGAAAAAAGAACAAAATTCTTCTTGATGATTATATGTATAGATAATTATCATTATAAATATTACCACAGAGTCCATATGATTCGCTCTAGACTCGCATCTCCCAAACTTTTCTAAGAAGCAGGTCTAGGTTGGACCTGAAAAAATGCTTAAATCTCTTGCAAATTCTAATTCGTGTTTAACAAAAGTTGAATTGGTTAGAGTCAGTCACAGAAAATTCCACTCGATGAGATATAATTCTCATCCTCAATTTCAAAAATAGTCTCAAAACTCAAGAAAATCTTTTCTGAGATACTTGGCGATCAAACCAGGCGATTTGTTATGACTTTTGATAGTAATCAGTTCTTAGCATGCTTAATGAGAAAAATTACAATCAATGTCGCATTGCAAACGTCAATATCAATTTCCAGTTGTTCTATGAACATTATATATTCTAATTTTTCTTCTCATATTCAAATAATGGTTAACTCGACGATAATCATTCTCTTTCATCATTATCGATGCGATGAACTGTCCGCGGCCTATTGTTCGGCCACCAAAATTTTGATAAAAGAAAACTTTATTCGCTATTAAAAATCAGTATCTGGATTTGAGCTAATTACTCAACATTAAAAAAAAATCAAAAATACGTTGTTGTTAAATTTTTTCGCTAGCACATATACTTCTTTTAGTATTATTTGTTAATGAGAATGTCTCTTTGATGTTTTAATTTGTCCTGATACTTATTTATGAATCTATAAAGTAGTAGAATATTGTTCCAGAAAAAAAAACAACTCTTCACAATCACTCCCGCTCGGTCGGAATCAGAGTCTGATGTAGAGCTTTACTTTATAAACGTAACATTTATGTGTGTTTTCTTTGTATGCTTGTTAATTCTATTCTTCGGATTACTTTTTTTTCTCGACTACGAATGCATGAAGTTGTCAGTATAGTCTTCTTTGTGTAAGATTAATGAGCTTGAGAAAAAGTTTCAAAAAAATGATCCTAATTTCAATTTCTATTCTCTAATATCATACTAATCTTTAATATTGAAAACCCAAGTAGTTCTAATTAGTTGAAAGTAACATTTAACAATAAGAATGAATATATAAATGGTGAGAGTTAGAATTTAATCAACTCTTTGATTAAAACAAATGTTCATTTAAAACATGATTAAATCTGCCGAAGTAATATTTAGTTAATCAAATATGAAGAAAAATATTTCAATAGTAATTTTTGTGTTCATATGAATCAAAGAATTAGTATCCTTTGATTATTTGTTTCATTTCAACCAATAATAAATCCAGCAACATGATATCATCATTTTAAAAATATTAATTTCAGATTAAAAAGTAAATATATCATAATTTCTTTTTAATTTCTCTTAATTAAATCATAATTTAGAAAATAACTAGAGGTCGCTGTAACAATTTCAAAGACAGTCATGTACAAATCAAGAAAGAAAAATTATATGAACAAAGAATAACACACATATATATATTCTATTGAATAAATCGACGAACAGTGTATTTTCCAGTCTGAAATTTTCTTAGTCGGTCTATTGTTATTATCTAAATATTCATGATTCCAACAAGTAATACAACAAATACCGGTGGAATTAAAATGCAAAAACTCAAATCAAGTGACGATATACATGCTAATTCATTATTTGTTATAAAACGAGGTATTTTAAATTTTATTTTTTTCTAAAATATTCAACATAAAATTTTTTTTTTCTATAAAATTTCTATTATTATTTAAGATGGTCGAAAAGAATATGCTATGTTTGATAAGATTACATCACGTATATTAAAACTTAGTGATGGTCTTGATCTTGAATATATTGATCCAGTATGTAGAAGAATTTATTTTTATTTTATATGTTAAATATTCTGATATATAATATTAGGCAGCTGTTGCTTTACAAGTTATCAATTTTCTTCATCCTGGTAAATAATTTGAAAGATAAACCTTTTTTTGTTTTTTTAATTGATTGTCTATTTTCGTAGGTGTTACAACAGTTGAACTTGATAATTTAGCAGCACAAAAAGCTGCTTCAATGACAGTCAAACATCCTCACTATGGTATATTAGCTGGACGTATTGCTGTTAGTAATTTACACAAAGAAACAAAAGCTTTGTTTAGTGGTGTGTATTTGATATTTCTTTTTATTTTTCGAATAAATTCAATTTTATACAAAAATTATTCTTGCAGAAGTTATGGCTGATTTGTATAATCATACAAATCCTGATTTGAATACACATGCACCTATTATTTCACAAGAAACATACAATGTTGTTATGGCTAATACAGAAGTATGAATAAAAAAGAAGAGAAACATTCTATTTAGTATTGATTGCATTTCGTTTCCTAGGAACTCAATGCAGCTGTCAAACATGAACGTGATTTTGATTTCAATTATTTTGGCTTTAAGGTAAACACGAAATGAGAGAATATATACAATTGTCAGAAGCCGCTGGAATTTATATTATAGTTATGAGTAGTATTTTGTGAAAATAAAAGAAAAGTCTAAAGAATTTACGCGCATGGTCGTTGCACTTAATTTGTTACTATAAGTAAGACATTTTGACAGAGTCCGAAAACAAAGGTTTTATATCTGAAATATTGCGCAGAGGTAGCTATGAGATAGTTCTGACAGTTTTAATGAAACGGAATATGTCCTTGTAAAAAAACCTCTTAGGTATTATAGCTGCTGAATTAATATGAATGAACACGTTACGTTCCTCTGCTGTAGAGACAGGTGCGCCCCTGGAGGACACAATGATCTAGTCTACTTAGAAACTGAATATTTCGAGAAAGACATGTTCATGTTTGTTGAAACTTCTAGATAGAGAGGTGTGAATTGTCAAAGCCTGATATCAGACATAACATGTTTTCCTTATTAAAAATGTAGTTCCTTATGGATTGTTTATATCAGCCTTGATCACTTTTTCTTGCTCTGATGAAAGGTGTAGTCAAAACTCGCGAAATACAAAAAGAAAAAGTTTCAGAATCTTTAGTTTTTTTTGAACACTTCTAACCGGTTTTGACATTTGTTTTGCATCAGACAAAAACTAAGAACAGACTAAGAAAGTGCTTTCAATACTAATCACAACTGATGTGAAGAATCGTTAGAAGTTCGCTTATTTTCCATACTGGGGATGTGTTTTTATAAGCAGGAACGAATTAAATTTTTAACCGGAGATAACAATATTGACAATTACTGCACTCCTAGCGATTCTTCACAACAGTCATGATTAGTTCAGAAAGCTCTTTCTGAATCGATTCTTACATTTTATCTAATGGAAAACACATCTCAAAATCGGTGGGAAAAAACTGAAAATTGCGAATTTTTGACCATTCTGATCTCTTTCTTTGTATTTCATGAAATTCGACTATAACTCCGGATAGAGCAAGAAAAATTGACTATGGCTGAAATATACGATCCACAAGCAACTACGTCCTTAAAATAGGGAAAAAGTCATCTTAGATACTATGTTCTAGTAATTTGTGCATTCTTGATTATTAAATAGACGAAATGGCAGAACAAATCTTTTTGTTTTTCTGAAATGCCTTACTCCTAATAAAAATGTTCGTGTACAGTTAATAATTATTTCCCAGTAGACCATAATCATAAATCGTTGAGTCCTATGTTAATTTTATAGAGACCTACGCAGAGTTGTAATATAAAGTCCAACGGTAGCTGATTGTTGAATATGTTCACTTGTTAGTTGAATGAATATTTATTATTTCAATTGTTTTTAGACACTCGAACGTTCATATTTACGTCGTATAAATAATATTATTGTTGAACGACCACAACATATGCTTATGCGTGTTGCTGTTGGTATTCATGGTGAAAATATTGATGATGCTATTGAAACATACAATTTATTATCAGAAAAATGGTTTACACATGCAACACCAACACTTTTCAATGCTGGTAAATCCATTTATTGTTCGTTTTTTCTTTGAATTATTTTATTGATGTTTAGGTACAACAAAAGCACAAATGGCATCATGTTATTTATTAACAATGTGTGATGATAGTATTGAAGGTATATTTGAAACTTTACGACGATGTGCAATTATTTCAAAAAATGCTGGTGGTATTGGTCTTGCTGTTAGTTGTATTCGAGCTAATGGATCATA